GCAAATAGTTATTTTAAAGATTTGATACGCTTAGTAGATTCAAGAACTACAAATATATTTATAACGCAGAGTAACTCTTATGGTAAATGATTTCTTCTAACAAATAAACAGATCATAAATGTTTGTAATATGTAAAAATGTGATAGAAAGTCTCAAGTTTTTTAAGATAAGTAAAATTGTAGAGATACTTAGGACATGTAAAAGGTTTTAAATAAATGTACAATATTTAAATACAAAAAATACAAAGATGTTGAAGATAGCTAAATAATAACATAAAAATAAAATACATGAACACAAGATATATGAGAAAAGCCATTGATCTTTTAATATTTCCTACATAAAAACTCGGGAGGTGAGAAGAGTAATATTGACTTAGAGTTTTTAATAAATGGAAACAATTACAATTGTGTATAGAGCTTAGATAGAATGAAAGAATGAGAGCTTTGTCTGTTGTATTATGTGTGATTAGTAATGAATGTGTGAAATGATCTCAACTAGTCTATATATACATTTGATAGCAAACTAACTCTACTACAATTCAGGGATCTTCCTTTATCATCTGTTGACATGATATTTTAAAAGCAATCATCATTCAACTTCACTGACAATATGTTATTAAAATTGGTATTCTGCTTATGTCTTGATTCCCGACCTATATACCAACGAAAATTAGAACTGTTGGCCAAGATATTAGATAATATCTTGATTAAAGATCCTAGTAGAATTCAAAATTCAATATTCTAACAGAGACTAATATGTTAAATAGTAAGCAATATTTTATGTACTTGCTATGATATTGATTTAAGACCCAAAATTTCACCCACAACGATGGGGGGGGGGGGGGGGGGGGCTAGATAACTACATTGTCAGCATATAATGAGGATTCTAGAAGATGAAGTCTTCTCAAGATCAGTCTTACTGTTGGGATGATGATGCTATAAAAGTGTTTTCAATCTATAACCATTTGAGAAGAAAAGTATAATAGTTGAAGAAAAGAGTTAACTTTCATAACGTAGCAGCATACTCTTTGATAGGATAGAATAAACTTTGAAACAACTGATGTAAAAATTTTAGAAAAAAATAAACTAAAGGAAAATTTTAAATTTTGAATTAATTTTATGAAAGAGCTTAAATTATAAAATAACTTTGGAAATATTTTTTAAAGAGGATTCTAGAATATGAAGTTTTCTCAAGATCGGTCATATTCTTGCGATGGCGATGCATTAAAAATATTTGTTTGCTATCTATTTAAGAACAAAAGTATAATACTTAAAGAAAACGGGTTGACTTTCATAAAGTAACAGCATAGTCTTTGATAGGATAGAATAAACTTTGAAACAACTTAGGTAAAAATTTAAGAAAAAATTAAACTAAAGGAAAATTTTAAATTTTGAATTAATTTTATAAAAGAGCTTATATTCTAAAATATTTTTGGAAATATCTTTTAAAGCAACAAAAAGTCAACAAAAAAGTTAAGAAGAGTGTTAATTTTGTAGAAAAGCTTGTGCAAATTCATTATCTGTTATAGAAGAAGATTAAAGAGATATTGGTTCGTAGTTTAGAAAAATGTCAAATAGCATAGGCAAAATTGTTAATTTCTTAGAAGATCTTCAAAGCATTTTGATGGAAATGTTAAATCCTATGAAAAAAATCATAAAGATAAGTGTAACAACTTTAAATAGAAGACCGCGTAAACTTCCAAGAATCAAATCTTTTTAGAGTACTTAGGAAGGAATCAAGTATTTATTCCATCAGAGATCTTGGTACTTATCAAAATGTTAATGTCCTAGATTAGGAATTCGTAGATTAACACATAAGTGTTAAATGCTTGGGATTTTCTTAGATATCTTGACACTTTAAACCTGTTTTTATTAAGATCTTAGGATTTTCCCAATGTTGTAGTTAACATGTTAATGTTTAATGCATGGGTGTTTTTCCCATTGTATGAAATAGCCATGCCACTCCATTAATAGAAATCTTTAAGATTTAACTTATATCTAGTAATAAGAGGATTGCCAACTACTAAAGCATAAACGGATCCCTTTATCCTTAAACTATATCTAGACTTCTTGCGTTTAAACTAGGTGTTTAAACCTAGTCTCTTATAAAATATGTTAATATCTAAAACTTTGAAGGGACTACGTATGTTATTCTTGGAGGGGTGATCGGCCCCTAACATCATTGTCAAGATCTTCAAGTTCTAAATTGTACAAAACAGAAGGTCTTTGGTAAAGGGTGGTGTTAACTTAGTTAACAATCCTCTAACGCTTAAGTCAATATCAAGATGCAATAGATAGGATAAAGAATTGAAATCATAAAGAAAAGTAGAGACAAATATTTATCAAGGTGACTTACTTAATCTTGCTTAATCAAGATGTTTACTTATATGAAATAAGTTTTAAGATGTATGACATTCCAAGGTCTTAGCAAGACGTTACCATCCATATTGGATAGCCAATATGCCCCATTGTCATCTTCTAAATCAAAAATCTTCATACCCAGATGTATTATACAAAACACATAAATCATATATGTGCATGCAACCCTAATAACTGATCTATGTTTTAAATTATTGAACATACAACTTGAAAAACAAAATAGAAACCCTAAAACACTAGCATATATTTGAAAATACAAATAGGGTTAGAAGAATTATACCTTTATTGTTATTTAGTAATAACAATGTAATTCATTGTGTTGTTGGAGCCTTAAGAGCAAGTGTCACAAATGTTATGCCTCTAATAGTTCAAATTGAACACTAGCAAAGGAAGCTAATTGAGAGAAAGGAGGGAGGATCAAATATTTGGCTACTCTTCCAAGGATTCATTGGCCAAAAATCATAGGGTTATATCGTATTTATAGTGCAGTAAGAAAATCCTAGATAAGCCCAAATCCAAGATCAAGGGGCTATTTGGGATATCTTTTTACCTTCAAAAGTCCTTTTTGTAAAAGGATTTTTTATAAAAGGACTTTTTACAAAAGATGTTTTTTAAAATGTGTTTGGATTAGCTTTTGAAAAAAAAAAAGTCAAAAGTTGTTTTTAAATAGTGTTTGGTTTAACTTTTACATGTAAAATGACTAAAAATGACATTCTTACATATTTACAATTATTTACTAATTTACATATACTATTTTATAGATAAAAATTTTTTTAAAACACATATTATAATTTTGTAAACATTTTATTAGAAAATATAAAATATAAATTTCTTCTAAATATTCCTAATTTTTTTTATATTAGACCATGATAATATTAAAAAACGTTCATACAAATCATAAATAATTCATAAAAAATATCATAGATAATATTACATTCGTCTTTGCAGTGTGATTATATCTTGTGCAATAATATCTCGTATCGCTGCCATATATAAATCATCATCACTCGTGCAACGTGTACTTATACCTTCTTCGTAAACTTTACTACTAGTATCACCTCGTATGGGATTCTAGGATTCTTTTTGTGCCCTATTAAATGCTTCATCAAACCTACCAACCATTCTAATATAGTTATGGATCGCCATCGATGATATCACAATTTTCACTTGGTTCTTATACTTGTAATTAGCATGCATGTCTCTTAATAACACCCACCTAGCTTTCTACACTCCAAAAGTTTGTTCAGTGATATTTCGCAATAATGAGTGGAGATAGTTAAATTTGTCTTTCGGTCAACGAGGTTCACGAATAGCAGTCGAGTGTCCACGTCCAAAATCTGGTAAATGATAACGAATATTTGTGCCTTTGTATGGAGCAAGATACCCTCTAGTATTTGCATATCCGGCATCAACAACGTAATATTTATCTATAAATAAAAGAAAAAAATTATTTTTTGGTTTAAAAAAAGTAGTAAAAATATAAAACTTGTGTTCCAAAAAAAAAAAAACTAACCACCTGCTGGATATGGAAAATTAAGATTTATTCTCTATAAGGCTTCATTGAAAATTCTTGTGTCATGTGCAGTCCCCTCCCAACCGGCCCATACAAATGTAAAACAAATGTTAAAATCACAAACAACCATTATATTTTTTGTTGCATATCCCTTTCGACCAATGTACTTCGCTTCCTCGTTTTGTGGAACTGATGCCCTAACGTGTGTCCCATATATAGCACCAATGCAATCCTTCAAATACAAAAATATATCATAAATAAATCATTTGTTAAAGTTTGATTACCAAGAAAAAGAACATTGGATAATACCTTGAACATTGGATAATACCGAGGGTTATTTAATATATATTTGGGAACATCATCACTATAGTTTGCGTCTAGCTTCCAAAACTATATTGAAATGCCTATGAATTTTTTCCCCCGAATGATTAAAAAACTATTGCTACACTCATGAGCCAAATTCATCAAGAATATTCCTACATATTCCTCAATAGATATATTTCGTGTTTGTTGTAGTCTGTAAGTTGTAGCAAGATCTACGTATAACCATCTAAAAACCGGTACGTTCAATCTAAACATCTCCTAACACCGTCTAGGATGTCCATTTAGTACTTTATAAATAAACATGTGCCCTGTGCGGTCTAAAGTGTGACATGGCCTATGTACGTTACGAGCTACTATTATCCCTTTCAAAGCTAATCCACATAACATTTCAAATTCTCTATCCTCTTCCACCCAACATTCTTCGTTATCATTGGATGAATTAGAGTCATCACTATCGATCCTACATAATTCAAATAAAAATATGTCAAAAAATAACACATAACATAAAGACAAACAATAAGACATAATATAAAATGTCAAATACATAATGTCAAAGGACAACACAAAATGTTAAAACATAAAACATCATGTCAAAGCATAACACATATTGTCGCCATGCAATCTGCTATTGTTGGGGAAGGATTATTTTGTGGATAAGTTTGTGTGTTTTTTGTTGATATGGCATCCAATAAACCATCTACTTTTTCTTCATAAATTGAATTTTTCCTCTTGGTTGAACGGTTGTTGGTAACAAGCTTAGACCTTTTCTTCTTACTCAAACTACTTTAATGGAAGCTAGGAAAAAGAGGGTCAACATCATCATCTAAATTGATATCATCACTATCTCCTTTTCCCTCCACATTTTCTTCGTTTGGATTGCTATTGTTTTGAAACTGTAATGGCGTCATAATATGATCTCTAATGGCAACGGAATCCCAAAACAAAAGAGCATATTTCTCATCAAATGTGCTCAAATCTACGTTCCTAAATTTTACATAATCTTTATTCTCCTGCAAGACAAAAAAGATAATGTAAATCAAATATGCTCAATCTATATGTAAATAATAGTAAATCATACTTTATTTTCTCCTCCAACCACTCAGGCGATGCATCTAGTAGGCTTCTCGTCCCATCGAGTCCGGTTTCACGCCTCATTAATCGGTCATAAAGCTTCCACTCTTTTTTCATTTTCTCCCATTTGTTTGTTAGCTGTTTTTTTTTCAAGGCTATAACATGTTTTGTCCTTTATGTGTTTTTGTATATTCTCCCACCCAACTTTATTAAAGTGAGTACCGGTTTTATGGCCTTTTCTTAGTTCAATCAAGCATGAATCAACAACCACCATGAAGTTACCATTATCCCATCGGAATTTTGGTTTTTTCATTTTTAAAGATGTTTCACAATCAACAATAGTGGTGAGGTTTTCGTCCATTATTGTGAATTACATATCAAAATATAAACAACAAATCAATTTCATTAACCTTCCTAAATGATTTCATCAATTTAAACAATTGCTAATTAATCTTTCATACGATTCATGAACTATAGTTTAGTTAAAACAGAAAAATAGAACAACAACGAAAGAAAACAACACGAACCAGAATAAAGAAATTGGAATAGTTTTCACAAGTGGGTACCTGTTAACAACACAAATTGGTCCCTATGAACAAAAAATTTCATCACTTTAATCAATATCATCCATATTTCATCAATTTCACTAATTATTATTCAATAAAATATCAATTTCACATATCTATAACTGTTAACACAATATTCATCAATTTACAGTCAACACAGATCCATACAAGGAACAAATTGAACGAACAAATAACATATACTACAAGGAAAATCAGAATCAAAGGAACAAATAACATACATTACAAGGAAAATCGAAAGTTGACATTTTCTTTGTTAATGAAAATAAAAAATCAAGACAAACAAAACCAAAATCGGAGTTTGCACTTACCAGGTTGAAGAGGGAGAAAGGAGACGCCAGCAGAGAAGATCGTCGGCTTGGAGTGTGACAACCCGAAATTTTCATTTGGTCAAACCCTAAAAGTCAACCACTTCGTATCATAAATTAATATAATTATTTCTTATTTTTAAGAAATATAAAGTTCGTTTGATTATTTTAATATTACTTTTAAACGAATGGGTGAAAGAAAGTGTCGTCTCGGGTTTTGTGTCACACCCCCAAACCAGAACGGCGGAAACGTTCGGGGGCGGAGGACATCATGTTCAATATCATAACAGTTCATAGAAAGGAAAGTACACACCACCATATATAGTAAGTTTGCAAGATGTTTACATAATTGTATTCATTACATGTTCAAAAGATAAATACATAAACATCATTCAAAAGAAGTAATTAACGCCAGCGCGTTAATCCCAAAAGTTGATTCCCAACCTGCTTAGCGATTTCCTGAGAATACAAGTTATTTCAAAGAAAAAGTGTCAACAATTAAGTTGGTGAGTACATAAGTAATTTAGAAAAATTGGATGCCATTCCAAAATGGGTGTATGTTTTCCAGTAAACGTAGCATTTCAAAATGTAAAGAGTTGTCATTTGTTGTGTTGAAAATGAATGCATTAGATCCAGAAAATCCCATATTTTCCCTAATGGTTGAGATACGAGTTGTTGTGTTTTCCAAGAAAACCCTTATTTTCTTATAAAAGTATGAAATGCATATAAATATTCGTGTTATAAGTTGTAAATGATTGCACTGGGAAAATCCCTTATTTTCCTATTAGTTGTTTGGTTTGTATGCAGGAAAAACCCTTATTTTCCTCACACAAAATGGCAGTCTCTAAGACCGAAAATTGCAAGAAACCGACGTTTCTCGTAAGTTGTGTCATAGTTTTATATATAATAAAACTACGCGAAGATCGAACCGGTTGGATGAAGAATAGTTTTAATAGCTACTCGTTCATCAAAACTGAATATCATAATAATTGTATATCCGATGAGTTTTATAACCATACTAAACATAATATGCCTGTAACGACGTTCTTCAGGCGTCGCAGTGCTATGACAACTGTCACCCCAAAAGACGGACTGTAGCTAACAGTCAGGGCGCGGGATCATGACTTCCCGTATAGATCTATACACATTTGACACGTTCTCGTCGCGGGAGATTCTGGTTATAAACAGGACTTACTGCAGTACTTTCTAATAAAGAAAAGTAACTTTTGAAGATGTACACGGCTCATGGATTCTCAATTAAGTTGATATTAAAGTGATAGTTTTGTATGCAAAGTTTATCCCTTTTCACAATGTTTGATAAAGCAAAATCATAAGTTTTTAGAATGTACAAAAAGATTTAACAATGAAAGACCATTATATACTTCGTATAAGTCTAATGCACACAAAGTATGACAAGAGTTTTCCATAATAGTAATGAGTTCCAAGTGGTTTATTTGATAACACAAGTGAAGTGAAACTTTATAAAATACACGATAATAACCGTATGTTTACTTGTATTCCCCCCCCCCCCTAAAAGAGTATAAAAGCATTTAAAAATGTATTTAAAGTGTGTTTGAAAGGGGTATGAACTCACTTGACAACTTGAAGATAGCGAGATGGAAAAACGGCAGAGTTTCGTCTCGGAAAATGGATTTTCCTTGGAAATCTCGGGATTCCTCGGGAGAAAAATCGACCTTCGGATCTTGCACGAAGCGACCAGGGCTTCGGGGTAGTATGAGCACGGAAAACGAGGAAAAACGCAAGAGAAATAAGAGAGAATGAGCCCTTTTCTCGGGAGCCCTCGCATTCCTTTTATAGGGGGGCGGATCAGCTTGCGTACGCGGGGCGTACTCCCGTACGCGGCGCGTACGGGACGTCATTGCTGACTGCTTCCTCGGCTGCAGCGTTTCGGATGGGACGGGAGAGGGATAGATCACATAGGGGCGACGTGGACGATCCGAGGCCGTGGCCTCTGAGTACGCGGGGCGTACTAGGGTACGCGGCGCGTACTATAGACCTAGGCTGACTCCTCTTCGGATAATACCGAATTTTGAATAAAAATTATATATAAATTAATTATCAAACGTCAAAAATTCATATCTCCTTCATACGAACTCCGTTTTTGACGTTCTTTATATCCCCGCGAAGGTGAGACTACGATCTACAACTTTCATTTAGATTCCGTTGGCAAATTCCGAAATTATTTTTATTATTTATTTATTAAAGTGACGTGTTTAAGGAATTTCTTTAAAAATTCATAACTTATTCATAGGATGTCCGATTTGAGCGTTCTTTTTATGCATGTTTGTAGTTTAACGATATCTATGACTTTCATTTAGACACCTAAGGTGAAAAAGTGTTTTGTTGAAACTTTGCGTTTTTACGTAACTTCGTATTGCCGGTTTTTGTCGGGAAACTTAGAATGGTCATAACTTCTTCGTTATAACTCGGATTTTAGTGTTCTTTATATGTATGAAAACCTTGTTACAATATCTACCACTTAGTATACTTAATTATGGTTTTATAAAATTTTAAATTTTGACCTGAATTTTGCTGTTGTTACATTTTGATTTTTGAAAACTACAAACACTTCACGTATTAGAAACACCCGACCAAACTTTTATGTTTTGGGTTTAGAAATCACCCAAAAACCGTAAACTCATGCCTATGTATGAGTTTACTCCCCAAGAAACTAGTCATTGTGTTTACTCCCCAAATAGTCAAAAGAGTAAACTCCAAAAACTCTCTCAACTATCATCCAACATTTAATTCCAAATCTTCGATCTTGTAAGTGTTCTAACCATTTCAAGTTAGTAAAACACTTAATCTAGTGTTTGTGCATCTATTCATCCATTCACTTATGTATTTTGTTTAGATTTTCCAAAACACTAAGAACACCAAGAACACACACTAAGTGTTCTTGGCCTTTTAGCTTAAATCAAGCATCATTATAGTATGTACCTCCATCCTTGAGTGCTTGTAAGCTAGTATATCAATTAATCACCAACAAAATCGGTCAAGAACACCATGCTTGAGGTGTTCACGGTCCAAGATGATGCTTGGGCAGTAAACACCATAAAGTCCCCCAAAATTGACTTAAGTCCCATGTTTAGCCCTAGTTTCAAGTTTAAGACTTACCTTAACATATTTAAACCTTCCATTGATATGTTTAAGCATTGAAAAACACGAAACATCACCATTTATAGGTGTTTACGGTCTAAGGATATCCCAAAACCGTAAACACCCAAAAAGGTGTTTAAATGAGTCATTCCTTTCTTAGCCCTAAAAGCTAACTTAGACATTTACCTAGTTGTGATAAGGGCATGAAATAAAGGCAGTATCATTTCCCATAAGGTTTTACGGTAGTAAACCCAAGGGAAAATACCCTTAGGCCGTAAACACCTCAAGGAGGGTGTTTTGTGGCCCTAGTCCATTCCAAAGGCTAAACCACTTAGCAAGATTGCTTCAAAGGACTTGTTAAACCTCCAAACAACTCATGGTTGCAAGAAATGGAGTTTAGACCGTAAACCCTTGAGATTACTGCCGTAAACTCCTAGGGTAAAGGTCATTTAGACCGTAAACTCCCAAGGAGTTTACCCTTGGACCCCAAACACCCTAGTTTTGCCCTACTAGCACTTGGATGCAATCCTTGTGATCTGTAACACTTGAAACAAAGTGTTTTCATGTTCTAAATTGTCCCAACTCATTTTATTAGTTATAATGAGGCTAATTAGTTTTATATATATATATATATATATATATATATATATATATATATATACGTAAACTCCTAGGGTAAAGGTCATTTAGACCGTAAACTCCCAAGGAGTTTACCCTTGGACCCCAAACACCCTAGTTTTGCTCTACTAGCACTTGGATGCAATCCCTGTGATCTGTAACACTTGAAACAAAGTGTTTTCATGTTCTAAAGTGTCCCAACTCATTTTATTAGTTATAATGAGGCTAATTAGTTATATATATATATATATATATATATATATATATATATATATATATATATATATATGATAACTAGGCTCGTGCGTGTGTACAAGTCTTCATTTGTGACCTAGCACCGTAACCAACACTTCAACCCAATCCACTCACCTCAAGTGAGTTTATACCCCTTTAATTAACCTTTGAAATACTTTTAAATGTTTTAAATGCTTTTATGGGGGGGGGGGGGGGGGGATACAAGTTGAATACTTATAGTTATTACATTAATCACATGTGATTAATAACTACAAAACAAATGATTTTACTACTATTCAAACTGTTTATCAAAGCTGTTTTACTTCCAACTGTTTTACAAACTATTTTACTTTATCAAATACCTTTTCTTAAACTTTGTTATGCTTATTATAAATTGCATGCCCATATATGTATAGTTATATAAGAAATGTTAAGAAGGCTTAGGAAGGCCGCACACCCTATTTCCTTTTCCTCGATTTGGATGTGGTTTGGTGGGATTTCGGGTAGCCGTCCGAAGGTCGTTTCAATATTAATTATATATCAAGTGTACATATATACACATAAAAGCACTTCCATATTCATGCGTATTAGTTACATCATTAGTAAGTTACCATCGGGGTAACATAGGATCATACTTCTACAATTTCTATATCAATGAGTCATATCATTCATGAGTCAATACTTACTACTATGAGAACATATACAACTATACTAGAAAATAGCATATACAACTATACTAGAAGAAGAACATATACAACTATACTAGGAAGAGAACATATACAACGATACTAGAACAAGTAACATTACATTACATATACATGAATACATTAACAATTGTGATCCACTGTATCGGAGCATTCCTTAAATGTCATGGCCCGAGTTGTAGCCAGTATTCTCTTGGAGGGAGAGCGTGAGTTTGCGTATAGATCTATACTGGATTGACTATCCTACACCGTGGTTCTAGCTACAGCCGGACCTGCAGGTCTGCGGATGCCAAACGTCATTCCGTCTTACGACCATTCGTATGTCGTTGTTACCGGTCAATAGTATGGTGCAATTTAATCACATGATACCTTAATATAAATCCGGTTTAAGGTAGTTAGTAC